GCCCACGAGGGGTTTGGATTCAGACAGCTATTGAGGGGAAGCCACAAAGACACGTTTTCTCCCCTGCGGCCTGGAGTGAAGGCAGAGCGGCCCAGGCACAAGAAGACGGTTGTTTCGCATCAGCCGGCAGCCGGCAAATTCTGTCAAAGCAGCTGAAGGAGAGAAGTCGTCAAAACACCCAGGAAAAACAAGAGCTCTGGCGCAGGCAGGAGATAAAAGACAAGGAGGGCAGCCGCCGCGGCACACAGGCCCCCTTCACGGGGCGCTGGCAGCCATGCTCTCGCCATTGTCTGCCACCACGGGCTCGGAGCATGGAGGCTTTCTTATTTCTCCTCCTAAAGAAAGAATTTATTTCAGGGGAAAGAGAGTTTGTGTTGTATGAACAGTGACTGCCAAATGAAATCTTTGGTTGTGGAAACGGGGAGGCCCAGATTCAAACTGGCCCTTTGTCCCTGGTGGGGGAGAAGGTGGGCCGCGCGCCCCTCTGTCCCAGAGCTGGCTCCCCTCCTGGCCTTGCCGCCCTGCTGCCCCCCGTGCCGCGGCTCTTCCGGTTAGAAAATGGAGGCCAAGTGCTGCTGTGGCAGTCCCTGCTCTCACGCAGGCCCTTTCCTTTCCCCCGAGTGTGGAGCCACCCACCTCTCTGTAGGCCCAGTCCTCTTCCTTGCCTTTGTTTCCAGTGTCCCTTTGCCTCTGCCTGGAGGGAGGAAGCTCCTCCTGCCCTCCCCTGGCATGTCCACGGGCTCCTCACGTCAACAGGTGCCAAATGGATCTTAGGGTCTTAAACCCGGTGCTGTGCATCAGAAGCATCCTCTGAGTTTCTTCTTTGGAGAGCATCAAAGGAGGCAGTCCAGATTAGTGAACAGGGGCTAAGGAACCGGGGGGTCTATCCTAAATGTCAGTGTGCTTACTGCCCTACAGTTGTCCATATCAGGGCATTGGGGAGGGGCTGATGGGGGAGTCACAGGGGGAGGAACTCATGGTTTCTTCCCCCGAAATTCCTGGGGGATGACCCTCCTGTCCCCATCATTGCTCCTCCGGTGCTGGTTGTCAGGGTTGGTGTGGATGGAGTTTGTGCAGAGGTGGTAATATTTAAAATAGCTTAGTCCCATCGCTTTGCAATAAGCATTTAATGAAGACAAGCTGTGTGCAGCGTCGACAGCCGGGTGAGACACAGCAAACTGCTAACACACGGCGGAGAGAACTGGAGGTGGAGCCAGCTCTGTAGACCCATAAACAGGACCTCAGTCCTCATAGACTGAGGCCCACTGAGCTGCCAAGGCAGCCGGTAGAAATGAACCAGCTGCTCATTTAGAGGCAGTAAGAAGTCTCCCTTCCCAGGGAGCAGCGAGTCCTGGTGGATCCATCCTGTTTTGCAGTTTATGGAGAACCAATCCCCTCAGACTGACTCACCTAAAGTCACTGATACTCCCGGGATACTGATGATGGAGTTGTCTATCCAGGCTGATATAAAGCTTTTTATTTATTTATTTATTTATTTATTTATTTATTTATTTATTTATTCATTTTTAAAGATTTTATTTATTCATGAGAGACACACAGAGAGAGGCAGAGACACAGGCAGGGGGAGAAGCAAGGTTCCATGCAGGGAGCCCGATGCAGGACTTGATCCCAGGACCCCAGGATCACACCCTGAACCGGAGGCAGACGCCCAACCGCTGAGCCACTCAGGCGTCCCTAAAGCTCTACTTTAAGTCAATAAACAGAGCTTATTTTGAAACTGGCACAGTGCGAGTCACTTTTATATTTAATATTCTATATAATCCTTAGCATAAGTTTTCCAAATAGATATTATGCTCTTCCTTTAGCAGATGGGGAAACCGAGTCTCAAAGAAGCTAAATAACTTGCCTTAGGGGCGCCTGGGTGGCTCAGCAGGTTAAGTGTCTGCCTTTGGGTCAGGTCATGATCTCAGGGTCCTGGGATCGAGCCCCACACATCGGGGCTCCCTGCTCAATGGGGAGCCCGCTTCTCCCTCTCCCTCTCCCTCTGTGGGCTCTCTCTCTCTTAAATAAATAAAATCTTTAAAAAGAGAATAGCCTGCTTTAGGGTCACAGGGATACCAAATAACTTGGTCAGGATTTGAACCCAATTCTGTTTATTTCCAAGTCCCACATTCTTTTTCCTTCTTTAAGACAAAATCCATTAATGCAACACAGTCACGTATTATTTGTAAAGCTGTATACTAAATTTATTATTTATACTTCAGCTCTTTCATTTTCAATTTTGCCCAGAGTTCCCCTCTCACACGGAATCTGGCTTTGTTCATCAGGTCGAGGTCGAGTAAGTCAGGCAGAAGTTAGAATGATTTAACTTTTGTGCTCAGAAGGCTCTAGAATAGCTAGTTGTAAATTTCTTCCCATCCCTTTCCCCTCAGCCCTCTTTGGCAAGTAAAAGGATTGCAACCCGATCCTGCCTCTTGCGCTTTGATTCTCATTGCATTCTTTTTGGATTAAGAGTGTCCGGTTTCCTTGGGAGGGATAAAATATGGCCATCTAAGTGAGGGAAGTACAAGCCCCGCCAGTAAACTCCTTCGTGGAGTTTTTATGGGATGTATTTTCACCTCATTGAGCTTTTTATTTCACTAGGATTCTTTCATCCACTCAAGCAGGTGAAGAAAATGGGAAAATGATGGCAGAGAAGAAATGAACTTTAGGAACTTGAAAAGGAAGAGTAAACCAAAAGAAGCTGTCCCCACATTGTTTACTTACAAGGTCTAACAAGCCAGCAGACTAGTAACAGAAGGGTAGAAATCTTCATGTCTGATTAGCAGTGTGCTTTTAAAATAGGTCGTTTATTAGGAGAACTGGCTGATTAATTAGCCACTCATTTTATCATTTGCTCAAGAATCACTATTCATTCATTCAAAAGTTTGAGCATCCATATTAGAAGTCCTGTCTTTAACATGAGCAGAACCTGTATTTGACAGTTAATCAAAAACATTTTAAAAGAAGGCAATGATTTAAATAGATGTATTATTATTATTTTTTGTTTGTTTTTACTTAAACCTTATGTCTGCATACACATTCATCTGTCTTCTGCTATAAAGCATTTGTGTGTTGGTTGTCATGTTGCAAAAAAAATAAGCCACGCCCATAAGGCATCAACTATTTTTCAGGTTCTAGTTTCTTTAAAGTGGATCAAGAGCTTAGAGATAATTTTGAAGCAACTTGATTTCAGACTTATACGGTTCTTTTAAAAAGATTTTATTTATTTATTTGAGAGAGAGAGTGAGGAGGAGAGAGAGAAAGAGAAAAGGAGGAGGGGGAAGAGAGGGAGAGGCAAGACTCCCCACTGAGCAGGGAGCCCAACATGGGGCTCCATCCCAGGACCCCAGGATCACCACCTGAGCTGAGGTCAGATGCTTAATGGACTGAATCACCCAGGCGCCCCTGGACTTCTACAGTTTTTTCCCCAGTATTTTATAGTTGTTTTGTCCATAATTAATTTAAGCAAAGAGTTCTTTTTTTAAAAAAAGATTTATTTACTCATGAGAGACAGAGAGAGAGAGGCAGAGACACAGGCAGAGGGAGAAGCTGGTTCCCTGCCGGGAGCCCGATGCAGAACTTGATCCGGGACCCTGGGATCAGACCCTGATTTAAAGGCAGACGCTCAACCACTGAGCCACCCAGGCATCCCTAACAAAGAATTCTTAATACCAACCACCTTTATCAATTTTTTTCCTGAAGGATTCAATTTAACTTTCATAGAAACAGGAATTTTTTTTTTTACTTGGATTGCACACTATTATAGATTATTTCACCAAATGACATGCATATTGTTAGCTGCCTTGGAGGGCTCATGCTTTCCAGTTACTGTTCAATGCTTGACCTGAATTCACTAATTAATCATTACAACCAGCCTTCAAAGCCGGTAATATAATTATCCCCATTTCCCAGGGGAGATAATAACATGAACTGGTTTGAGAAAAATATACTGATGACTCCTCATGAGCCTCTACCCCAACAAATGGGTTCAGAAGTGTGTGATATAATAGCAGATAGCCTGCTAGCTGCAGCTCTCCAGGTTTGTGAGCGTCAGCCACTAGGTGTGGCCAAGCTAGGAGGAAGCCAGTTAATCTGAACTAAGAAAGTGCAGGTAAGAGGACTCCTACTGTAAGGGTGGGGAGGATGGGGTAATGGAAAGAACGTGCATTTTGAGATCAAACCACTTTGAGTTTGACTAATAGTGCTGGCAAATAATAGTGCTAGCTACTTAGCTTCCAAAACCTCATTCCTCATCCATAAAATGGGAATAAATAATTTATTGGAATTTTTTCTTTTATTGATTTATTCAACAAGCTTTTCTTTTTTCCTTTGGTTTTAAGAAGCCTTTCCTAATTTCTCTCAGAAAGTCTTTTTTTAAAGGGTTCTCTTTCTCTTTTTTATTTTAGCTCCAGTATAGTTAACATATAGTTCTGTTACTTTCAGGTATACAACAGAGTGATTCAGCAGTTCTATACATGACTCGGTGGTCATCATGATAAGTATACTCTTAATCACCATCCTCCTGCCTCCCTCCCCTCTCGTGACCATAAGTTTGTTGTCTTATTCTTGGTTTTATGTAGTTTTCTCATTCTGTAGTCTCTCTTTTTCTCCTTTTTTTTTGTGGTTGTTTCTCAAATTCCACACATGAGTGAAATCATAGGATATTTATCTTTTTTTGACTGACTTATTTCAATTAGCATTATACTCTCTAGCTCTATCCATGCCATCGTGAATGGCAGGATTTCATTCCTTTTCATGGCTTGGTAATATTCCATTCTATATGTATGTGGATGTATATATCCACATCCAAATATATATATATATAAATTCTTTATCCACTCATTTGTTGATGGACATTTGGTCTCCTGTCCATAGCTTGGCTATTGAACAGAATGCTGCAAGAAACAGGGATGCATAGATTTTTTTTTAAAAATAAAACTGTATAAAACATTTAATTTATTGGTCTTTTGGGGGGTATTTGATGTATCTCCAGTGTATTACAACTGAGCCATTAATCTGGTTGCTTCATCAACATTAACTGGTTCATTTTCATGACACTGCTGAGGAATCAGCTATTTCTGCAGAGGTTCAAGGGAAAGGCCTTTTGAGAAATTTGCAAGTTCCTTTTGTATATCTACAAAAGCTTTATTCACTCTGTTAACTTCTTCATCATTCACAATGTTTATCTTCTTAAGATTAGTGGTAACTGGTTTTGCTTTGTTTTTAGACGTAAAGTTTTTTTGGCTGGCTATATGAAATACACTCCTGGACTTCTGTCCTCTTAGTTTGTTCTTGGCCATTGTCTTCAATACCCTCGTGCAGCAGCTCATGACCCAGGTGATGCCATCTACTTGCACAGGAGCTTTCAGCGCATACTTCTTTTTGAATTAGTGTTTTTGTATTCCTTGGGTAAATACCCAGTAGTGGAATTACAGGATCATATGGTAATTCTGTTTTTAATTTTTGAGGAACTTTCATACTGTCTTCCATAGTGTCTGCACCAGTTTGCACTCCCACTAATAGTGCATGAGGGTTCTTTTTTCTTCAATCCTCACCAACACTTGTTGTTTCTTGTGTTTTTTAATTTAGCCATTCTGACAGGTATATATGATATCTCATTGTGGTTTTGATCTGCATTTTCCTGATGATGAATGATGTTGAACATCTTGTCATGTGTCTGTTGGCCACCTGGATGTTTTCTTTGGAAAAATGTCTGCTCATTTCTTCTGCCCATTTTTAATTGAACTATTTGTTTATTTTGGTGGTGAGTTATGTAAGTTCTTTATATATTTTGAATACTAACACTTTATCAGGTTTGTCATTTGCAAATATTTTTTCCCATTTGGTAGGTTGCCTTTTAGTTTTATTGGCTGTTTCCTTCATTGTGGAGAAGCTTTTTATTTTGATGAAGTCCTAATAGTTTATTTTTGCTGTTGTTTCCCTTTCCTCAGGAGACATATTTAGAAAAATGTTAATATGGCTGATGTCAGAGACATTACTGCCTGTGCTCTCTTCTAGGATTTTTATGGTTTTAGGTCTCACATTTAGATACTTAATCCATTTTGAGTTTTTTTTTTGTGTAGGGTATGAGAAAGTGGTTCGGTTTCATTGTTTTGCATGTAGCTGTCTAGTTTTCCCAACACTATTCGTTGAAGACACTGTCTTTCCCATTGCATATTCTTGCCTCCTTTGTAAAAGATTAATTGACCATATACTTGTGGTTTTATTTTTGGGCTCTCCAGTCAGTTCTGTTGATCTATGTGTCTATTTTTGTGCCAGTACCATACTGTTTTGATTACTATAGCTTTGTAATATATCCTGATATTTGAGATTGTGATAGCTCCAGTTTTGTTCTTTTTCAAGCTTGCTTTGCCTATTTGAGGTCTTTTGTGGTTCCATGCAAATTTTAGGATTGTTTGTTCTAGTTCTGTGAAAAATGCTTTTGGTATTTCATCAGGGATTGCATTATATTTGTAGATTGCTTTACATAATATGGATATTTTAACAATATTTGTTCTTTTTTATCCATTGAGTGCCTTTCCATTTGTCTGTGTCATCTTCAGTTTCTTTCATCAGTGTTTTATAGTTTCCAGAGTATAGGTCTTTCAACTCCTTGGTTAAGTTTATTCCTATGTATCTTATTATATTTGGTGCAATTGTAAATGGGATTGTTTTCTTAATTTCTCTCTCTGCTACTTCATTATTAATATATAGAAAAGCAACAGATTTCTGTATATTGATTTTGTATCTTGTGACCTTACTGAATTCATGTATCAGTTCTAGAAGTTTTTTGGTGGAGTCTTTAGGGTTTTCTATATATAGTATCATGTCATCTGCAAATAGTGAAAGTTTTACTTCTTCCTTACTGATTTAGATGCCTTTTCTTTCTTTTTTTGCTGTTTGATTTTTGTGGTTAGGACTTCTAATATTATGTTGAATAAAAGTGGTGAAAGTGGGCATATTTGTCTTCTTGGCCTTAGGGAGAAAGCTCACAGTTTTTTGCCATTGAGTATGATACTGGCTGTGGGTTTTATATATACGGCCCTTATTAGGTTGACGTATGTTCCTTCTAAACCTACTTTGTTGAGGGCTTTTATCATGAATGGGTATTTTACTTTGTCAAAAGCTTTTTCTACATCTTTTGAAGTGATCATATGGTTTTTTATCCTTCTCTTGTTGATGTGATGTGTCATATTGATTGGCTCATGAATATTGTTTCTTTTGCATCTCAGCAATAAATCCCACTTGATTGTGGTGAATGATTTTTAAAATTTATTGTTGGATTTGGTTTGCTAATATTTTGTTGAGGATTTTTCCATCTATGTTCATTAGACCTGTAGTTCTCTCTTTTTTTTTTTTTTTGTAGTGTCTTTATCTGGTTTTCATAGTAGGGTAATGCTGGCCTCAGAAAATGAATTTGGATGCTTTCCTTTCATTTCTATTTTTTTTTTTTTGGAATAGTTAGAGAGGAATAGGTATTAACTATTCTTTTAATGTTTGGTAGGATTCACCTGTGAAGTAATTTGGTCCTGGACTTTGGTTTGTTGGGAATTTTTTTATTACTCATTCAATTTCATTATCAGTTGCTGGTAATTGGTCTGTTTAAATTTCCTGCTTTTTCCTGATCCAGTTTTGGAAGGTCATATGTTTCTAGGAATTTCTTTCTTTCTTTTTTTTTTTAAAGGGTTTTTTATTTATTTATTTACGATAGTCACAGAGAGAGAGAGAGGCAGAGACACAGGCAGAGGGAGAAGCAGGCTCCATGCACCGGGATCCCGATGTGGGATTCGATCCCGGGTCCCCAGGATCGCGCCCTGGGTCAAAGGCAGGCGCCAAACCGCTGCGCCACCCAGGGATCCCCTCTAGGAATTTCTTCTAGGTTGTTCAGTTTGTTGGCATATAATTTTTCATAATATGCTCTTACAATCCTTTGTATCTCCATGGTGTTGGTTGTTTTATCCCCTCTCTTTCAACAAAGTTTTTAAAAGCTTCTTGTAAGGTGGCAGGTACTGAATAAGGTTTTGTTATTCAGTAAACAGAAGTTTCCCTACCTCCATAGAACATACATTTCTGTTATGGAGAATAACTATGAACAATCAAAAGTGCTAGGAGGGAAGACAGGGTAGAATGATAGAGACATGGAGCATATGAGGATTCATTTGTTCATTCATTCACTCATTCACCTATATTGTCAAATAATATTTACTAAAGTCTTACTGTGGCCCAGGCATCATGCAGTGATGAGCAGGATAACATGGGCAATTAGACAAGACAAAATAGCATCAGGGATTTAAAGATGAAGAGTCAATATTCTAATACCTCCTAGATTCTCAGGCTAGCTAGGAAAGTCACTGATTATATCTTACAGTATAATAAGTGCCCTTGTATCAAAGGAAATGCAAAAGTGATAGGAGTTCAGTGCAGGGAGAGATAGGTATATCTGGAAAAGAAACAAAAATAATTGAGCATTTCATGTCAGACAAAAAAGCAGACTCTAATGGCCACATTAGATTTCACAGGTCTGCACAGCACAACTCCAGGAGGTACCTTTCAAGGAAGCTATAATATAAATGGTGGCCCCTCGAATTGTACAGTGTGGAACCTTCAAATCCATACCCTGAGGTCCTACCAGAAGCTTTGGAGGTAATGATTTTGCTTAATATTATTTTACATTGAATTATCAAAGGGAGGAATGATGACCAGAAACATGATCTCTTTGGAATTAAGGACCTCTGGAAGAGTAATTCTGGTCCATGAAAGTAGACGGCAAAGGAAAGGATTATAAATGGATCAGTAATTCTTATCGCAAAGGAAAGCATATGATGCCATGTAGGAGTGGATTCAGTCTTGAGGAGCCTCAAATTTATAAATATTTGGGGCATTCATTAAAAAAGAGAAAAGACAGAATTATTTATGAAATCAAATATTCATTTAGCGTGAGAAGAAATCCTGCAACAAATTACAGTTGTCCAGTTGGAGTGTACACTGTCAGTGACCTGGCCACATTTTCTTGGTACTCGCTATTCCAGCAAATGCCTCAGGTCCCTACTGCAAGCACCTGCAACCCCCTCCCAGGATCTGTGTTTGGGGTCATAGGGATGAAGTGTGGGGGGGTTAATGCCTCCAGGAGCCAGCTACCCTCAGATGGTAGAAGATGAATATCTTGTTGGAGGATAAACACTTTGTTGGGTGAGATAACTCCAATATATTTTCTATACAGACTCCCAGAGAGCCTTACCCATGGCGGCAGCTTGTTCAATAACAGAACTTTTATCAGCTTGCTTTCCTTCTTTCCCACTTCCTCATTCCCCTGTGGGTACTTCCTGGTCCCGTCCAGCTACATAATTTGAGAGGAATAGTGCAAATTGAAATTGAAGGGTGCCTTGTTGAAGAATTGTTACAGTTTCAAGTTGGTGATGGCGCTTAAACCAAGCAGAAGACCCTTTGGAACACAAGCCCTATGTGACCGCACAGGTTGTAGGACTAGAAAGCTGGTCCTGGTCCTTGGTACTGTCCCCTCCCAAATGAACTACTTGCACTTTCTTTGGCTTAGGATTTGCATCTGGAAACCCAAACTATGACACAAAGACATTCCACAAATATCTGAGAAGACAACCAACTACATTTTTATTAATTAAATGCCTAACCCACCTTTAATATTTTCCTTAATTTTTGGCTACATACTCTTTTTTTTAATTCCTACTACATGGCAGTGGTTCTGTGATATTTTCTATAATGAGATTGAAAAGAAATTTTGTTTCCTATTTTTTTAAAGCTCCTGGTAGCTTAGAAAAGTTACAACTTTGTTGTCCACTATTAACACATAATGTCTTACAAGTTTCTGGAGTTCTTATCAAGTTTTGGAAAATCCTCATCAAGTCTTCTTTGTACATGAGCAATCAGATTTCAGGACACTTCTTATGCACTGGCTAATCTTCAAGGCTTTTTAAAAAAATTATTATTGCTGCTATAATAAACCTAGTGACTTAAAACCACACAAATGTATTATCTCATCATTTTTTTTAGGTCACAAGGGGCCAATACAGATATTACTGCAGTAAAATCAAGGTATCAGTAGGGCTGCATTCATTTCTGGAGACTCTAGGAGAGAATCCATTTCCTTGCCTTTCCTAGCTTCTAGAGGACACTCACATTCCTTGGATGTGCCCTCTTTCAATATCTTTAAAGCCCAAAATGTTCTCTAGTCAGATTTCCCTCTGACCCACTCTTCTGCCTCTTTTTTCCATTTTTAAAAATGCTTGTGAGTAGATTGGGTTTACCCAGATAATCAGGATAATCTCTTCATCTC